GGAAAATTGAATTCTACTTTATCAAGTCAAGCAACTGCCAAATGTGTAATTCTGCAGGAATTTGTCTAAGGGTTGAATTTATGGGTCCTTGTCTTTTCTCTCCCTCTAGAAGGGAGAACTCCATCATTCCTGGGTGTGTTTTTTATAATTTCATAAAGCTGTTCTGTGACAGAGCTTATTTTATTCAGCGTTCTTAATATTTCTTAAATAGTGGTGTACCCAAACAGGAAGGTGTCAAAAAAACTTTGCAATTTGGAAAAGGAAGATTCAGCACCTGCCATTTTGTGTAGAACAAAGGAGCAAGGGTTAGGGATCTGATACATAAATTAGGGCTTTGGGCAATTTAAACATTGGACAGGAATGGAGTCGTCTTGAGCAGGTCTTGCCACACCATGCCAAATTTCCTTGCACTACATATCCCACACCAGTACATACAATGTAATGAAAAAAGATTATAGAACTATCACCATGTCAAGATTGAAGAGGCCCTTAGAGTGAATAATTAGGAGGAGGTGATTACAGAACTAATAATTCAAGGAAAGGAATGGGGAGCCAATTCAGTGAAATAGAAAGAATTTGAAGGTAAGTATGCCCATAAATCCTCTGGGGTGGACTCAGAGTTTAGCACTTTCTCCTACCCTGGTTTTATTCCAAAGCAATTTCATTAAACACTAGAGAGAGGGAGAGAAAAAATAATAATATAAATCCCATAAAAAATCTTTCAGAGGAAGGAATAAAAAGGGTTCCTGCCAGAGAGAAATTTTATTGAAAGTTATTATAATACCTATCTTTAGTTTTATGGCCTTTAATACAGGCCAAGTAATTTCAAAGCTTGGATTCTGTAGAAATGAAATACATATTTTAAAATAGTATAGTGTGACTTATTATTTTTAATATAGAATTTAGCTAATATAGGGAAGAGAAAAATATTTTCTCTCTCATGTTCTTTCCAATGAAAACACAAACATCATTTCCATCACAGCATATGGAGAAGTTTCATTACTATTCTTTTGCCTGTACATAAGAATGTTTAGCATTTACTATCCTTAGATCACTGGGCAGACACTAAAGCATTAATCCACTTACTTTCCCTGGGGCCAGTGGGTGAGTATAATGAGAACCATTTCAAAAATGGGGAAAAGTGACCAGAAATTTTGCTTTTGCTTTTGCTTTTGCTTACTGCCTCACAGTGAGCTGTTTCTGATGTGAAGAAATTATCTTAGTGGATCGATTTCCAGGGTCTCTGCTCAGTAGCCTCTCCTGTCTAGTGGAACCAGCAAGTTTAATAAACATCCATTGAAAATTCCCAGCTCCAGGAGGGTCTTGAAAGGTACAAATTCCTGTTACAAGAAGTAATGGCCTTCAGGATGTTTTGTTGACCCTGTTCCTGTGGTCAGGAATTTGCTGTTCTTTCTCATAAATAGCTTTATTCCTTTGGGATGATTCAGATGTTGGTATCTGAGCGGAAGGTGTATGGAAAACCAATATGTGGTGGGACTAGAAAATCAGTTAGTGATGAATTGTGATGGAAAGTACTGAGATTAAAAATACAAGATAGGAAATGGCAAGACAGATTAGTGTACTTATCTTTTCTGTGGTTTCTAGAGATCTTGTTAATGACCTTGACTTAAATCTAACACCACTTCTGGAGGTTTTTTCTTTTTCTAACCCTCATTTTTATACACAAAATCAACAGGATGGGATAAAGAGCAATCACCAAGCAAAAAAAAATTAATATCAGGTGAAATAGTATGTAATAGAGATGGAGAGGAAAGATGGAGATTAATTGATAAAATCATGTGTGGAACCAGTCATGAAAAAGTGCAAATAGAGGTTGAAGTTGCCAGGGTTGATGAGTACTGCACATCACATATTTGCATTTTGTCTGAGTCTGGCTTACTGTGCCCTTCTCTGTTCAGAACCAACACAAGCTGCAAGAGGATTTTATAGCAGGAAATCTAGTGCCCATATCAGAGTGCAGCATAAATGTGTTGCATGTACTGCCTTAAGCTGCTTATGAGATGGGAAATTGAACAGAAAAAGGAAAAAGGGCCGGGCTTCATGACTTTCCAGGTTGTGGTACAGGGACTTCCCAAACTAGACGTAGGGTTATTAATAGGTCTGGAAGGATGTTTTGACCCTCAGTTTGGCTGATCACTTCCAAAATGCTATAAACTTTTATTATCTACCAGTGTCCTGTTGCAAGAAGGTGTCCAGTTAAAAAAAAAAAAAAAAAACTTCCTGGTTTCATGTGATGCCCCCAATATGTAAAAGGAAAAAAATAGTTATAAAGGAACTCCTTATTCTTTACAAATACTAAATCACATTGTCAGTTCAATTGGATTTGATTCCATGTTAATGTTGCATGAAGCCTTTAGATCTGAGCAAGTAAGTGGGTAATCAAATAGGTATAGCAGCTGATAAGTGACAACAACACATTATCATCATTTTTGTGTTTATTTCCTACTGGAGCAAATAATCACTGTTTTTCTATGAGAAGTGTGAATTTTCAGATGTTCAACTAAGACCAAAATCCACATGATCTAAATTTAACCTGAAAATCAAAACCAATTGCCAGGGGTTTAGCACTGTCTGAGCAAGGTCTTCTAGTAGTGATGGGTAGTTCATTCTTTATTCACAGTACTATCCTTAATTTATTCTTTATTCACAGTGCCATCCTTACCCTTAGACAACTACAGTATGAATCTCCAGTTTCTATAACTACATTTCCCCTGCTTAAAAATTTTTAGCAGTATAGCCTTGTTTACTAAATTGTACTAAATTACTTTACATTGCTGCAATTAAAAACTAATATCTTTTTACCCAGGACAGCTGCATTTGACTGTTGGAGGATGTGATTACTGTACTAGTTATAAAGTTTCTGGGGATAAATAATACTTTCTAAAACATATGTGACAGGACTAGGAGAATTGAAAAAAGTAAATTTCTATTTTGTGCATTCCTCCTTTCTTGTCCCCTTACTGAGCAGACAAAATTTTAAAGCCAGCTTGTCTTAAGAGAAGTCAGCAGGATTTCAACAGAATTCTTCAACTTTCTATGACTGAAAGAAGATCTTAAAAAAATGACCTTGACATGTGAGGCAGGAACATATTACCTTCAGTTCCTTTTAATCTTGACTCCCCATGGAAGCAAGATTGTGGAAGTATTTAATGAAAGTATTTAAGCATGAAACTACTGCAAGATAGCATTCCACAAAACATTGCCAAATGTCCATGCTGGGTATGACTGAGTAACCCACGAGATACTTCATGACTGGCTTTTTCACAGATACCCTATTTTTATAACTTTTATTTGCAACTGACCTCTCCTGTTTTTCTTTCTTGGCTCAATCTAAGCCACTGAAATCAAGACTGAAGGATCATTAGGTTCAATCTAATCTTTCTGACTGACTTCTTGGTTCTCTTTTTCTCCCCTTAGCTCAAGTACAAACAGAGACAGGGAGGGTAAGGAGCTTCTAGCCGGGATCAGAGGTATTTCCTGGTGCTGGGAGCACATGAGGCTAAAGAAAGGGCAGAGTCCTCAGAACGCTTTTGTGAAGGGAAGAAGGAACATGTTGGAGGCAGCCATGGCAGATATAAAAATGTAAAGGAGACCTTATTTAAAGCTGGAGAGTCTTTAGGGATAAGGGATAAGGCTTTGATTGTCTTGTTGAGATGTGAGATTCCCAGCAATATTCATCTAGAGTACTGAAGTGCAGCTGTCCCGCTCCCGAGTTCAGCAATGCTTCCTGCCTGGTGAGGAGCATTTCAGTTGCTTTGTTTCAGGAGTCATCCCACTGATCCTACTGCTTGGCAGAATAGGCAGCTCTCTGCAAGGAAGAGCTGTTAAGGGAGACAGTTTCACCAGAAGCCATGGTTGAGCCAATGCTGCTGAGCTGGGGTAATTTTGTATTGTGCACAGGAACATTACAACCTGTGTCCAGAGGCTGCCACAGGCTCTCCCTAATGGTCTGCATTACTAATTCAACTAATTGCAGCAATTACAGGCAGGAGATGCTGCTGGGAAGAGACACCAGTACACGTCTCTCTAACATGCTGCAGTACATGCTGCTCATTAATTAGAGCAGTACACACACAGAAAGAAAAAATATAAAAATGAAAACTAAAAAAAAAAAAAAAAAAGAAGAAGAAAATATCACCAGCTGGAAATGCAAAGGAATGTGATGAAACCTGTAACATTTGTGAATGGTTACACTTTGGTTTAACCCTTTCAGAATCAGACTTTACATCTGGTCAGCCTAGTTGCATCCACATCCCTGTTCACTTGCTAAGCAAGGAGATGAGGTGGCATGTTGGGCATACCTGACACATGCAGCAGTTCCCCATCATGCAACAAGTGAGCTGCACAGATATTTACTGTGTGGATCAACACCATATTTTCAGCCCAAGAGGTGCATTAACAGAGCAGAAATTATGTCTGCCCCAGAGTGGTGCATCGGGCACAGCAAAGAGTGCTGCTAGCTGAGCAATGTGTATTGTCTGGGTCTATACTGTATATTTCCTTTGCAGAAAGCATGTTCGGTCTGAGCATGCCTCACATGGTAGGCCTCTCAGGAAGTGCCTTCTGGCTGGCCCTGCATGATACTGGTATTTGTGGAGGAGCCCAGCCTCCTCCCAGCAGACACATCTAGAGCGGCTGCTCAGGGCAGTTTGCCAGCCAAGCTGGTTTTGTAGCCCACTGTACCTCGTTCAACAGCACCAGAGTGATCCCCTTGCTGCCCTAAACAGCCCAGCAGGTGCACAGCACCTGTGCACACCTGAAATATTCAGCAGCACAGGATAGGCACTGTTTCTCCGACAGGAGACTCCTACTCATTGGAGGACACATTTACACAGGCATATATGGAGTGCTTGGTACAACTTGAATATTTTAAAAGTTAGATTTGTGAAACCTTGGATATTTAGCTGCCTCTGTAATAGCTTCTTGACTTGCAAATATCTTACTTTTGTTTTCTTTTGTTCCTTTGCTTCACCTGCCAGACAACAGATGACATCGTTTCATCAGCTGAATGTTCCAGTGATGATGAAGATTTCATTGACTGTGAACCCAGTACAGGTAAGTCAGGTCAGTCGTGTTTTGCTTGCTTTCTGATTTCATTTGCAAAAAACAATGCATACATATATTTTATATGTGTGTGAATGTATACATATATAATTATATATGTATATATGTGTGTGTATATGTGTATATATACGCACTCATGTATATATACACTGTATATAAAATGAGAAACTATACAGCCAAGCATCAGATCCCATGGACTTGGCAACAGCAAAACACCAATATGTAGTCACTATTTGCTTTATATAAAGTTGTTCGCATGGAGAGGAAAACTTTCCAAAAGTGATTCCAGCTAATAGTTCACATATTTCTAGATGTTACTTTACTAACAATGTAAGAAGAAAAAATCAATATGGAGTGTGACAAATAATGAAGATTTATGAAGTGGAGAGGGTGAACCTTTGAAAACAGAAGAGAAAAGTGAAATAAAAATAAGTTATTAGTGATGTTGAATCTTTTTAATTACTCTGAAGATGTATGTTAAGGGATACATTTGTCCATGGGATTTTGAGTACAGTTAACATGGTAATGTGTTTATACTAATTTTGTTTCCTGTGACCCCAAAGAAATTGGGGAGCACCAAAACATAGTTTTAACATAACAAAATTAGTAGTAATTCTTGCCTTGTTATCTGCAGTGATGCTTCAAAATGTATCCATTAAAGAGTCAGAAGGACTGGCCATGTGGAACTGACTCAACTTCTCCCTTTCAGATACATTTTGATAAATTGATGGCTTTTCTTTCTGGTGAGATATTTTATGTGGTATCCAGCAGGCAACTGCAGTCTACTTTATTTCTTACAGGCTTTGTCAAGTCTTCTTTTTTGAGGCTTGCCATGAGTTAAGCATTTCTATAATAGAGAACAGACATCATCGAATTTCTGTGTACATTTAAAAGAAAAAGAGGAATTTTGGTTAGAATTTTTGTCTTTCAAAGTGAAACATGTAAATAGTTTGAGGGGGTCCTTTCATTTGGCTTTGTTTTGTTTGTTTTTGCTTTGTTTTATTTGGGATGATGGGGTTTTTTTTCTTACAAAAAATACCAAGAAAGTATTATAAATGTTCTGCTTCTAATTTCCTGAAGCCATTTGAGTAATACAATAATAACATAAAAATTCACCCAAGGCTAGTGCTTTCACATTTCTTTTTAATTTGTCATGGTGTACCTGCATTTTTAGTAGAACTTGGTCTTGCTGTAACCTGAGATTGGCATTGCATTGTAGCTGGGAACTTCCACCCATACTCTTGACTTCCCTCTGATGGCAGTGAAGGCAGTGACACAGACTGTTGGTAACAGGTAGCTCAGCCTACTTCCCATCTCTTTCTTCACAGATTTCTATGAATTTTTCTACTCCCCATCTGGAGGAAAATCAGTCAAATATAACTAGATTGTGAAGTAAAAAAGCAAACAATGGGGGTACTGAGAGTTTAAATAAAAATAGTAATAAAATGCCAGCACAGTGATTGTAATGAAAGTGAGGCATGAGATTAATAGGACCATGGACACAAGGGCAAAGTTATTGTAACTGATATGCAAATAAATGAAGTCACTTCATTAAAGCTTCACTAACATGTGAAGACTTCTTTTTTTGAATTTATATTCTGATTGTCATGTATTTCAATTAAAGGACAGAAGGATGCCTCCTCCTCTTGTAAATTTTTGTTTAAAAAATCACCATAACTTCAGCAGCTAGAAATTGTAAGAGCAATATTTTCAGCTTGTGCTGCCAGTGGAAAAATCAAAGTTTGAGTAGAAATTTGGTAAAACAGCATGTTTAGCATTACATTTCATAGTGCTGTACAGCAACATTTCCAGACTAAAAATACCTCCTTCCTGACACAGTTAAAAATCTAATGCTACAAACAGGTACAAACTGGATTTGTAAAAATTACTTGCTTTTGAAAATCCTGCTAAGCATTACAGTTGGCAGATAGAAGTGCCTACAGACGTTTGAATATCTGCTGTGCAAAATAATATGATTCTCTGAAAATCTGCTGAAGGTTCTCTCCTAAACTACCAGGCATTCTTGTAAATTTCCCCAGTATCTTTCATTGCACCCTACTCCTCCTGCATAGGAGCATAGACCACATTAGCCACTGAAATCTGATTCTTTTCTAGGGAATTACTGTGACATTGAGAATAAAAGTTAGCTTGATTATATGTAAAAATAAGTCTCCCAGATGGTCTTTGCTGATGAAATCTGCACTTCCAGATTTTGAGTTGTTCTGCTCTCAGAGGTGCTGGTGTACAGAATTGCCAGAAGGAGGAGGAATATGCAGGTCCTTTTTGCATAAACTTAACTCATTCCATCATAATAAGAAGGAAAAGTAGCAGGTTTATGGGGCTTCTCATTTTCTTTGTCTATCTTATTTTCTGCATTCTCAGTGCATAGTGTCTGCCATACAGGCAGTATCAAAGCACTCATTCAGCCCATTCTGCTCTGGAGCACTGAAGCAATCTGAGCCAGCTTATCAAAATCCAGTAGTGCTGGCTTGGCTGAGCAGATGTGTTTGCCTTTACACTTCACCAGCCAAGTCAGAATTCTGGCCACATGCCAAGATCTGGTATTTAAATATGTACATTGTGGAGAGAAAAGATCCAGATATCCTTGCTTGTGTTTTCTAGTTTTCTAGCGTGTGGCTTCAGATTTTTTTTAAACTTATTGTTGTTTTTTTTTTTAATTGGGCTCATTTGAAATTGCTTCATCCTTTTCTGTTGACAGGTCACTGCCTTCTGCCTTGCCTGATCCCTTTTACAGCAGACTGAAAATTATATGACCTAACCCAGCACAGTCTTCTTTTTGTTGCTCTGATAATGTGTAGCTTTTAAAGCTCTTGAGTTTCTGCCAAATTTGGCCTTCCATCACCCTCAGTGCCATGGTCTAGTAATGTAAAGGTTACTGAACTCACTGCTGCAGCTGTGAGATATGATACACATTGCTATGAACCTGCTGTGCAATAGCCAAGACAAGGGCAGCAGAAAATATTTCCGTGCAGATCAGAAGTTTTCAGATTTCATATAGGTCAGAATTCAAATCCCAGTACCTATGGATATTACTTTGCTCTTGGTCCTTGGAATCAGAGGCAGTACTCTATGTAGAGTCCTTTTGAAGCCTTTGTTTTTGGTGTAGTCAGAGGCTGAAAATCATGTCCTCTTTGAGACTAAATACCATGTGAGGACCATTTGGCAGGGTCTTACTGCCACTTAACTCTGATTGACAGTTGAATCTAAGACCTGAATCTCATGTGCGTACAATCTGTGTCTCAACACTGCGTCTCTTTCAAAAAAGACAGTGTGAAGGTGATTCCCTAACTCTGCTCTCTTCAGAATTCTCCAGGCTGGCTTGAAACAATATGGCAGGTTGGCTTAGACTTTGTGGCCCCCTTCCAAAAGTGATTTCTTGGTTTTGAATTTTGGTAGAAAAACTTCATTTAAAAAACAGGAGCTGTCACTGGACTTGTTCTGACTGAGGTAGCTTGCAGACATCACCTGTAGACACGAATGTATACATAAGGAATTATTCTAAGTGACAGCAATGACAGCTGTGGATCCAAAACCCCCCTGTATTTAATGTAATGCAAAAGAAACCAGTTCAGGGACAGAAATTGCCCCCTATTCATCTTATTGCAGACAAGCCTAGATACCCTTAGATCTCTAGATCCGCTGAAGACTTAATCTAAATGATACAAGGGGCAAAAAACCTGTTTATCTGCCCTGAAGAAACATTTGCTTAACAGTCAAGAGAAGATCCTCTTTTATCTCTATGAAAATGTTGTTTGTCCCAGTACATGGCCAAAAATCTTCTTTTTTCTGTGCCAAAACAGATGCTTTTCTCTGGTATGAGTACAGGACTGTCTTCTGGCCTGCTCCAAGGAGATCTGAGGCTCAAATATTCAAGTTCCTCAAAACTCAAGCCAAGGTTCTGAGTCTGTGCTTCTGAGCACAGCTCTGTGGTGGTTTTTTGGTCACTCATCTGCTTTCAGAGAATGTAAGATTTGTAAGGAAAACATCTTTTCAGACAAGGAATGACTAGGAAGCACTGTGAAGAAAGAGCATTTATCTCTTTTCAGTGAAATGAGGAGCACCCTTACAATCTGATCTTACTGAGACTTCAAAGCCTTGAGGATGATAATTATGCTTTCCTGACAGCTGTTGCTGTCTCCTCACACCATTGCCCTCGTTCCTGTTAAGGATGTCCATTAGTGGAGCTCTGGCACCAGGCAGGTTGGATGCTGGTGGCCAGGCAGCTGGTTGGGATCATAGCCCAAGCTGCTCCTTGGACTGCTCAAAACAGTGAGGCTCAAACACTCACCAATTAGCCTGAAGTCCACAATACAGCCTGTTGAAATGGTCTGTAGGGCTTAATCCTTGTTCCCAGGCTCGACACATCCTGTGTTTCTTCCCTGGTGCAGTTGCCAGTTTTCCCTTCCTATCAGCCCATCAATTTCCAATGTGATTTTCTTTCCCCAGGGAAATTTACTCTGTGTTTCCCAAAAGGCTTCATATACGTTAAGGCTGTCCTTGTTTAATCAGACTGGTAAGCCTTTCTGATGGGGGACTGGACACAGCAGTAGATATGCCAGAATCTACAGTTCTTTGCATTATAAGTTTTGTACACCTACTCACACAGAGGAGGCACATATCCAACAGATATGCCCTCTGTATCTATAATTTACTGGCCTGTAGCCATCCACCTGCAGCCTGCCTGGGCCAGAGATTGATTTGTGGAAAACAAGCATAATCTGTCTTCCAAAACAGCTGGCACAGTACAAAAACCAATATGTAGGAAATGAAGAGTCCACTGAAGAAACCAAAAAAAGTGTTGATTTGGCTGTTGTCCTCCATAACTGCATCAACCTTCCTGAAGCACTCAGGGAATTTTCACTGCTCTAACTGGAACACCCCACAGTCCAGTGCTCAGTCACCCATGGTCTTTCCCTCTGACAAGCAGGAATGCTTCCCCATTTCTCATGTTGTAAGAAATGGCCTTTAAA